CACTAAAAAAAAAGGTGGTGAGATGCTCATGAATTTTGATCCATATGTGGTTGTTTAGTATTTTAGGTCTCTCGTTTCTGTCATTGTAAAAAATATTTTTTAAAAAAAGATAATTGTATGATGTGGCAAATAACTCTCATTTGACCTTAAATTAATGTGGTACTCATAATCCAGTTGGTAAAGTGTACCCGTCCTACAGCAAGTGTTCAATTTGTTAAATTCAATTTGTTAAATTAAATAATTTTATTTTAAAATGGATGGAATTAATGATTTTTTTGGTATAATGAAGGTGGCAACTGCATAGAGAATGTTTTCATTTCCAATTTCGACTAGATTGGGGCTGGCGCCTGTGGGCAAATAATATTAAGATCCTACAAGGTGTACCTAGGCAGTGCGTGAACCACACATGGGGGAAGAGAAATTGGAATAATTGAGTCCGAAAAAAAGGAGTCCACGCGCGCATTTATTATACAATCATCAGTTTAATTATGTGATCAAATATTATCCTTTTTTTCCTCCAAATTTTAATTACGTGAATTAATTCCTCCAAATTTTATCCTTTTTTAAGCATATGTTTAATTTCAAATGTTATCTTTTTTAATGCTTATCATGTTAGCTTTTATATTATTTTATTTTATGAGATTATTTTTTGAAAACTAGGTTTCTTCTTGTCGCTCGTTGCGTAAGGTAATGCGTAATGTATGGTTATTGATGAACAGGGTGTTCATTGTTGTTTTTTGACCGATGGTGTATTATATTATTACGATGTATATCTTATGTTAACTAATGAATAACAAGTTGTTATTGATGAATAACAGAAGTTTTGTTAATTAGACGATGTTTCAACTATGAGGAAGAGGCTTTTGTTGCTTATAATTCTTACACAAAGCGCATTGGTTTTTTCAATAAACAAGTTCAAAGATTGGAAAATGTCCAAATATGGTGTTGTATATTGGAAACAATTTGCATGTAGCAAATAAGGAGTAAAAAATTCAAGAGGTAGGTGTGATACAACAATAAATAATTATATCAAACTGATGAATACGACAATTTCAACAATGAATAATTATATCAAACTGATGAATAACCCTCTATATCAATATCTACACTTATTATGGTTTGATTTTTTGCAGATTCAGATATCCTGCTTCTTTTGGCTTCTGAATGTTGTTCTTCGCTCATGCTTCTTTCAGATTGTGTCTGATATTCATCGCTCATACTACAATATATTTACAAATTCCATGAATAACTTGTCAGATGTGATGAATCCGGCATTTCAACAATGAATAATTATACCAAACTGATGAATAATACAAATATCTAGTAATTTACCAAAAAAAAAAAACAATACTACATAGTGATGGTAAACGATGAATCTGGAAATTTCAACAATGAATAATTATACCAAACTGATGAATAATGCAAAGATCTAATAATTTACCAAAAAAACAATATTACATAATTATGGTAAACGATGAATCTGACAATTTCAACAATGAATAATTATACCAAAACTGATGAATAATACACAAATCTACCAATTTACCAGAAAAACAACATCCAATAGAAGAACAAAACTCTAAAATTGATGAATATGATAATTTTAATAGTTATGAAAATGATGAATCTGATAATTTTAACAATGACTAATTATACCAAACTGATGAATAATTCTCAGATATTCTAATTTACAAAAAAAAAAAAAGCAAATCGAAGAACATATCTCTAAAATTGATGAACAAACATTGTTAATTGAGTGAACATACCTTAGATCTACATAACCCAAACAAAAAAACCATACCAATGATTGAAGAGAGTAGTTGTATTACCTCGCTTCCCCTTCATCCTCCGATTTGCTCATACTCGGTTCGGAATCCTCAACCATAGGCATCTACATGAATATTTTAAGAAAAAATAACATTCATCAAACCAGAATCAAACAACAATGGATAAACACAAAAAAATCGATGAATTTTACCAGAATACACCTTAATCCTCATCTTCAGTATTGTAACTTGTAATTAGAATTACCGTTTTTTATGAACGATTCGATTCAGACTTCGGAAGTCCCGCCGACGGTAGCTTCTCTGAATGTATCGCCGCAGGATTGATTTTTGAGGTTTCGGTTTTTTTTTTTTTTTGATTTGGGGAGTAATGGAATAGATCGAATGGAATGTTGGATCATCAATTATGGCTGAAAATTAGGAGATAATGGTGGTTATCAAGATTTAAAAATCAAAAAATCGCACATAATGGGGGTATTAATGGGCGCTTGTAAACACTCAGATGGCATTGTTGTAAATATTAGGAGTTCCCCTTTTTTTGGTCGCGTGAGGTGTACCTAGGATCCCTATATTATAATTGGCGGTTGTGTGCCACAAACAGCTCCAATATACCGTATCTCATAATTTTCACTGATTGGATTGCTCTGAAAATGTCAATTGGATATGACGGTACATATTTTTACATTTTTTATTCTATCACGTTTCAGTCTAACCATCTTAAGTTGAAATTGTTTTATTTTAAATTTTTAACACTCTTTTTCTCTAAAAAATAGTCTATTTTGTTGTATTTTTTTAATTTAACAAAACAAATTATTTTTTTGAGATAAGGTAAGTAATTGTTTGGCCGAAAATGTAAAGTGAGTATAGAAGCTACTACATGTTGTCTCATGCTGTAATTAGAATCATGTAACGAGAACACTACGTACAACGCACAACTTGAAGTATTTAGAACATCTTTTATAATCTAATATGTTGATATCATAATTTTAAGTCTTCCTAAAACAAGACTTCTGTACAAGAATAGTACAAAATATAGTATGTTAGGTTTTGTCACAATGTTCTCTCCAGTTGGTACAGCGTACCTCTGTCCTGAAGTAGGTGTTCAATTTGAATAATGGATGGAATTAATGATTTCTTTTTTGGTATGATCAAGGTGGCAACTGCATGGAGATAATGTTTTCATTTCCAATTTAGACTACGTAGTTGGCAGCTGTCGGTCACAGCTCCGATATACCGTTTTTCATAATCTAATGCCAACTTGATATGAGGGTACATCTTATTTGTTTTATTCCATGATGTTCCAGTGCTAACAACCTTAAGTTGAAATTTTTTAGTTCAATTTTTTAATATTCTTTCCTTCCCAAAGAAATGGTCTATATTTTTAAGTCAACAAAATAAATTATGCTTTGAGATAAGGGAAGTAATTATTTGACCCAAAAATGTAAAGTGGGTATAGAATCTACCATATGCTGTTTTATGCTGTAACTAGAATCATGTAACGAGAACACTATTTACAACACACAATTGAAGTATTTAGAACATCTTTTATAATCTATATGTTGGTATCATAAGCTTTAAGTCTCCTAAAACAAGACTTTTGCACAAGGAATAGTCAAAATATAGTAGCTTAGGAGTTTCGTTTTGTCTAACCGAACTAGAATTGGTATTTTTTTCTTTTTTTCTTTTTAAGTACAACCAACCATGGGATGCTCATTTTGTGATGGAGAGATTTGTATTCTCTTGATTTCAAAAAAAATTGTCTAATTTGAATTTTCACTTTTAATAAAAATTCTACTAAAATTTCAAATCTAAATTGGACAATCATTTTGAGATACAAGAAATACACAAAATTATTTCATCAATTTAGTGAGAAATTCGTTCAAATCTAAAAGTTTCACATTCTTTTTCCGAGCTAACAAGTAGGGTTCAGGTTCCTAAATATAATAGAGTCAGCTTTGGAAGTTGAAACTGAACTCTCTTATTCTGCTTCGGCTCTTTTACACGTATGAAGTGAGAACCTTTTTGGTTCCTGGACCCTTAGCGATCAAGACAATTGACGAGTCCATATTAGTAAAGCCCCCGCGACTAAGCCGGCCCAAGTTCGGTGAAAGGTCCAATCGGTCTCTGGAAGTTTCTAGGTCGATTCTTAATTACTTTTCTAGCAAGAAAGGGTTCCATAACCTAACTCTATAAATAGGGATCAACCCTTCACGGTTAAAGGTACGCTTTATGCACCACAATTCATACCCTTATCATAATTACTTTTACTGACTTAAGCATCGAAGTGTCTACTCTCGGGAGACCCCGAGGCTCTCTTTTGCAGGTTTTAGGGTTTCATAGTCGCCGCAGTCACCGGTTCAATCAATTGGAGACGATGGTACAATTTCATCCTTCGTCAACAACTAGTTTGTAGTAATCAGTTGTTTGTAGGCTGGTTCTTGACGTACAAGTGCAATGTGTTGTCTTGACGTCCTCAGAAGGTAGAATTCACATCTTCATTGCCGATCGTCACAACCCCTTTCAGTGGATCACAGAATCTTTCGATCAAAAAGAGTACAGTTGATTTCCCTGATTCCCTTTCCCCGACAAATATTGCTGCTGATTTCCCTGGCTCAAATTCGAGTGAAAAAATCTTCAAATATCATGACACTACCGCTGGAGGGGATATGGAAAACCAATGTTGCATAGCTCAAAATGCCCTTTGATCTTTTCAAGTTGATGTCCTGCTGATTATTCAGGTTGAATTAAGGATTTCCTATCTAGGATAGCAAAAATGGAACATGGTAAATCTTTTGTCATTGTTCCTACCCTAGCGATAATGACACGACCAATATTCACCACAATCAGGAAAGCACTGTAAAAGAGCTTTTAATCCGAGAGGTTGAAAAGAGACACACTTGAATAATAATAAATCATTACAAGAGGTAGAACAGCTGTGGCCAATTTTGGCTTCCATTAAAATGATCAACCACATGACACATGCGATGGTTACTGTTGAAAGAATTTCGATGAGCAGAGCATTGATGCTTGCAAATTATTTTCACAAAAGGTTCCGTTTGCCAGAGTCTACAGAGTTCTCCGTTTTTAAATTCATTGCATCTTTTTGATTTTCTATAGTACAATATGATTAGAAATAGTCCCATCATACATAAAAGCTTTATTAGAGGAAAGTATATAGGAGGGAACCTCCCTAATGTACTCTTTTTTAACTCTTACCTAGGAAGGAGTTGTTTGGAGGCTAACAAGAGTAAAGTATGCCCCTTTCGGACCTTTAGCCATCAAAGAAGAATGAGTGCCTTTCTCCACAACTTCACCTTTGTCCATAACAGCAATTGTGTCACAGTTCTGAATCGTACTTAACCGCTGTGCCACAACCAAACTTGTCCTTCCTACCATCACTCTCTCAAGTGCTTCCAATACTGCCCTTTCCGAATGACTATCCAGCGCGCTCGTTGCTTCATCTAACAGCAATATTGTCGGGTTTTTTAGCGTAGCGCGAGCTATGGCAATTCGCTGTTTTTGACCACCCGACAGTTGCGAACCATTATCCCCACACCATGTATCATATCCATCTTTTAACCCTGTTATGAAATCATGAGCATTGGCTGCCTTTGCCGCCTTAATGATTTCTGACTCATCAATGTCCGATGCACCATATGTGATATTCTGGCGTATGGTACCGGAAAACACGACGGGTTCTTGACTTACAAGCGCAATGTGTTGTCTTAACGTTCTCAAATGATAAGATTTCACATCTCGATTATCAATCAGCACAATCCCCTTTAATGGATCATAGAATCTTTCGATCAAGGAAATTATAGTTGATTTCCCTGACCCGCTTCTCCCAACCAATGCGGTTGATTTCGCTGGATCAAATTTGAATGAAAATCCTTTAAAGATCATGACACTAGGCCTTGTTGGATACGCAAAATCGATGTCAAGTAACTCGATCTGCCCCCTGAGATTCTCGGGTTTATGCCCTGTTGAATCCTCTGGTTCAATTACGGAATCCCGATCTAGGATAGCAAATACTGAACTTATGGTATCTGACCCTTTAGTTAGATCTTTTGTCATTGTTCCCACATTGGCAATGACGCGACCAGTTTCAGACAAAATCATGAAGGATTGTAAGAAACCTTTGGTTCCAAGAGAGCCATCCACAACGAGCTTACCCCCGTACCAATAATCAAGAGCCCAACATAATTTCAAGAGAGTTGCAGAAGTTCCGAGGCCGATACCAGCAAACCAAGCTTGTCGAATACTTTCTATTCGAGGACTTGCTTGGGCTTTCTCCATTATTTGTAGAATTAGCATTTGAGCATTGAAGGAGGCAACTGTCCTAATGTTTGTGACTGCTTCAGCCGCAATCTTGCTACTTTCTTCTTGGAATTTGATGGATTTTTTCGTCAGGGATTTGAGTAGTGCATTCCTCACATAGAAACAAATAATGACCAGAGGTTGAACAGCTAAAATGATCACAGCCAGCCTCCATGAAATGAAGAACCCCACGACACAGGAAATAGTCACTGTTGAAAAAGTTTCGATGAGCAAAGCGATTCGATCTATCAATAATGACTTCACCTGCAGAATGCCAACAAAAGAATTGCAAATGCTTTAAACAGAGTTTATATGTCTCATCATATTATTAGTACTCCCTCCGTCCCATAATTATTCAATTTAGATTTTTATTTTTAGTTCAAATTAAATTAAAAGTGAAATTTCAAATTGGACAATAATTATGGGACAGAGGGAGTACCTTTTTTTTGGTGGTTAACTGTTGAACATTATGTTGGAGGAAGTAATAATCAAAGACATTTACTCTCTGATGAAAAGGATAATGGAAGAGCTTACCGTATTTGCATCTTTCCCCAATCTGGAGCAAATGGTACCCGTTGCGTTTTCAGCTCGATCATACCATCCGATTTCAAAAGTAAGGATCTTTGAGAGCAAAGTTTCTCTGATCCTGTTTGTCAACTTCTCCCCCATGGATGCAAAGTTATAATGCTGGCATATGTTAATCAGGATTGTGAACAGTGTCAAAGCCATAAAAGTAACACAATATATTTTTGTCATTTTCTTGATCTCTTCATGGTCGTGTAGAAAATACACTGATGACATTGCTCCCCTTGAAAAAGAAAACATTGGTGGGATTGAGCCAACTAGTATTGCACTTATAACGCCTGCAAACGCCTGTTTCCATTCAGGCAAGCTCATGGCAAGCAATCTTCTAACTGAGGGAACTTGATGCCCTGAAATCGCACCATGTTTAGCCTGTGTTGTGGAAACAGCGCTAGTAGAACTTGGCTTACTATAACTGGATGCTGAAGCTAATGCAGCACTGGAACTAATCTTCTTGTTACTGTGGGCAAATTGGTTATATGTTTTGGTATTTTGTAGGCGAAAAAATGATGTATATAGACCATCAATGTCTTCAATGAGCTCCTCATGTGAGCCGATCTCGACAACCTGGCCATTTTGGACCACGGCAATGAAATCCGCCTTACGGATGGTAGACAGACGGTGAGCTATAATCAAACTGGTGCGTCCATTGGCCACCTGATCTAGAGTTTCTTGAACAACTCTCTCTGATTCGGAATCCAGTGCACTTGTGGCCTCATCAAGGAGAAGAATTTTTGGAGATCTAATTATGGCTCTTGCTATGGCTATTCTCTGCTTCTGCCCTCCTGACATCTGAATTCCTCTCTCGCCCACCTGGATTAATTTTAAGACATGTTATTATGCCTGATTAATGATAATTTATTAACAGTTGAACAATGAGAAAATTAAGCTATCAAACTAAAGAACATAATGTCAAACTTTCCAACGAAAAATTTGATCCATAGCATAACAGCTATATGAACCTTTTATCCACATTTCTTTGTAGAGATCATCTGTAAAATTACTTTAAGCTGACCCCATGACCACTTGAGCAATGGGAAACGCGAAATTCAACTATTTCATGGCTTATACTGCAGGAGGAGAAGGAAAAGGCAAACCTGAGTATCATAACCATGAGGCAATTGAGAAATGAAGTCGTGAGCATTGGAAGCTTTTGCAGCCTCCATAACCTCCTCAAGTGATGCATTTTCCTTGCCAAACAGTATGTTATCTCTTATTGTTGTCGCGAAAAGGACCGGCTCTTGACTCACTACCCCTATCTGTGACCTTAACCACTTGAGCTGTAACCTGTCAATAGGCACACCATCAAGTAGGATTTCGCCATCAATTAGGTCATAAAACCTTTGGATCAAAGCGATAGCTGTAGATTTTCCACAACCACTCCCTCCCACAAGTGCAGTCGTACTACCTGCTGGGATTTGAAGGCTAAAATCCTTCAACACGGTGATGTCAGGTCGTGATGGATACGCAAATTGCACTTGCTGAAATTCGACTTCTCCCTTAACATCTTGTAAAATATCCCCTTTCACGTTGTCTGAGTCAATCTTGGGAACTCTTCCTATGATTTCCATGATACGTTCAGCTGCTGCACCAGCTTCCGAGAAGCGATCCAAGTTAGATAAACAAGTACCTAATGATCTGTTCCAATGAGAATGCAAAGAATTATCACTCTGTCTTCGAGCTGCTGCCTTCCCCACCAAACACACGCACACACACACACACACACACACACACACAGCAAAATCAGGAAACATGGAAGCTTACAATCCTCCAAAAACCAGGACACCAGTAACTGCAAAAATGGTTCCTCCTTTAGCGCCATGGTACATGACCAATCTACTACCATAATAAGAAATGAAAGCCCCAACTGAAAAGGTTATGCCATTGCTACCAACCGCCAACCCTTTTGCCAAACCTTGACGTTGTCCTAATTGAATTGTCCCCTGAAGAGAATTGGCGTACTCCGCTGCAGTTTTAGTCTCTCCAACAAAGGAATAAACTGTTCGGATGGAAGAGATCGATTGCTCGACGATTGTACCGGCCTTATTATATTCCTCCCTCAACTTTCTGGAGATGCTCATTAGAATTCTGCCATACACCACACCCGGTATTACCAGAAATACTAGGAATGGAAAACCAACAATGGCTAGTCTCCAGAGCATCAAGAAAGCAGCAACATAAGCACCGAAAAAAGTGGATAGATTCGACACGAATGTTGGTACCTGTTTTTCATAAGATCGCATCACATTGGCGGTTCCAATCATAATTTGAAATTTATCTACATATCCAATGTTTTCATTGACAGATGAAAAAAGTCAACCTTTTCACTGATGAAATCCTGGATAACAAGACTATCATTGGAAACATTGGCAACGACCTCGGCTGTATCTGTACCACGCAAGTCGAAGTAAGCGATTTCTTGTCGAAGCACCGACTTCAAATACGCGGCTCTCATGCTGGACGCTTGCCTCTCTGCTGTTCTTGCCCAGCAATAGCCCTCTAGAATATTATGTACTATAATTCAAGTTCACCATCGATTTTAAAGTAGCAACGAAAAGAAAGAAAAAATAGTCAGGCATGAACTCAACCAAAAACTTACCAAGAAAGCAAGCAATCCACTGCCCACATGCTATGTAGCAGAGAACCAGGGAATTCTGCAGGTATTATTAATAACCCAATGCATTCACAGGGGGATAAGAAATTGTAATAAGATTTAAGACTTGCCGTATACAGTGTGGCAAAAAATCCCATGATTGATTGATAAGAACGCCGAAATTGAAGAACAAACCAACCTACCTTGTTAATGCTGTTCATGGCTAAACGTCGTTGACCAGCTGTTGGTAATGATTCCGAGGTTCCAATTATATTTACGAGTCTACCCATGGTGAACACTGTTGCCGGCATTGACAGCCCGTCGCAAACTGCTCCTAAGAAGCCGATGAGCATCAACAGTTTGTCAACTCCATCGGCGTGCCGGAAAATTGACCGGAGTGATCCCATCATCAGCTGCTTCTTTTTCGTCTTATTCTTTTCCTCCATTAATTGTTTGTTCTTCTTCCTGAACTGTACTTTACAAGTATAAATAAATACTGTATGAGGGAATCTCTTCAACGTGCTCTTTGTTTCTATTACATGATGCTCCAGTACTGAATCCCAAGTATTCATTCATTCTTCATTTTTTTAAAAAAAAAAAAAACAAAAAAAGAAACAATGGGGAATCCCCCAATACAACTTGGTTTAGGAAGCCTACACAACGACCCTGGTAGGTTAATTACGACGAACCATCTCGAAATGAATAGTAGTAACAGAGAGTACATTGTCGAAAAGTCCAAACTTGCCTTCCAGTTCATTGATGACAAACTTTAAAGGGTCTGTTTGGAGAACTGTGGTTCCAGTTCCCTCCAACTTTTGGCAATTTTTTTTTTTTTTTTTTTGGTTTCCTCCAACTGGTCTCTCATCTTTTATTTATATTTTTTAATTATTATATCTTTTTTTAAAAGTAAAAAGTTGTTTTATTTATATTTGCTGGATATCGTCCAGCTGCGACTGATTAATAATCGAAGGAATATGTGACCAAAGAGAATACACAATGATTCACTATTTTAAATTATATTATTAATGGTCGAAGGAATATGCGACCAAAAAAACTTGTTGTGTACTGTATTCTTAATCTCCCTCCGTCAGAATTCGTCTTTTTTAGTATTCCCTCCGTCTCATAATTATTGTCTAGTTTTGATTTTCATTTTTAGTTTAAAATATCAAATTGGACAATAATTTTGGGACAGAGGGAATATCTATTTTCTGCCAATGATTGAAAAGCGGGTCTTTGTTGCAAATACAACGTTTTTGTCTCTTTTGTTTGGTCCCTTAGAATCTTCTAATCATGAATTTAATTGAACTTATCAAATTGCCAATTATTACAACAAAACAAAATTGTAAATTGACTTAAAAAACTATTCACTCACTTGTTTATTCGTCATGAAAGAGGAGGCTTGTGAGATCCAAGCTGCAAGAATGCAGCAGAGCTATAGAAAAAAAAAGCATTTGATATGTTAAATAATATAAAAGGTCAGAGTTAGAAGATCAATGTACTAGTTGCATGGATGTGAAACTGAGGGGGGCAGGGGGAATGAAAGGGTGATGGGTGTTAAGCCACACAAATAAATTAACCTAATTCAAACTACGTAGTATAGAAGTAAGGTCGTCTGATGGATTATTTCCTTTAAATTAATGCAAACATGAATTTTTGGATTGTTGTTCTAAATCTATGATAATGAAATTCAAATAACAAAAAACTAAATAAATGAAAAGAAATCAAACTAACAAACTTCTGACTCAAAGGACGGATAACTCAATTATTTCATTAATCACAGGCTACTAAAACTACTCTTGCAATTCAAGCATTCAACCAAAGATCTATTAGGATAGCCGTAATAAATCAATTAATTTCCCTAAATTAACTAACCAAGCCTAGCACTCAATTAGTCCTTATCATAATTCGGCTAGGCACGATAACGTTCCATACCAAACAATGACAGAATAAATACCAAGGAAATATAGTTGAACCAAAATCTAAACAATTGAGATAACTACAACTATTCAGACTTTGCCTCATTGATTCCACATTTAAACTAACATGCATATTCAATGTCTCACCAATACACATGTTTTGTCTAATTGCTACTCAGTACTGCCGGTTCTTGTCTATTACGTAACATTCAACTAGCAGATAGCACTAGAAAATAAATAACAAATCAAGTTGTCAATTTGAATGATATCTACTTTCATAACTCAATATAAGAATCAATAAATTAACCTGATGGAGTCACAGAAGTACTGTAGCAGCGAGGAATCATTACGGAAAAGGGTTTGGACTTCAACAGCAGAGACTGCATCAAGATGAAGCAACGAGATGGCCAAAAAACGAGTAAAACAGAGGCAGGAATTGGAATTGAGCACCGGAATTGAGAAAAGCTCGCCGGAGTTGGAGTGAAAAAAACCACAGTTGGTAGCAACCAGCTGCGTTCGGACTGTCGGCAACAAAACAACGAGCAGTAGCGGTGAACTTTAGCCTACAGAAGGACGATGACGGTGATAACAAGTGTGACAAGGCGGCTGATGAAAGTGATTGACCGCAGCAAGGTGTAGTCAGGCACGAACGGCAGCAAGCGGTGTTGATGATGGTGGCGACTGAGCAGCAACAAGCGGAACGGACTGACGGAATTGATTGAAGCAACGTTCCAGTGGGTGATGAAGTTAGCAAACCGCAACATCAATCGGCGACCATTGATGCGCCGGAATTGACAAAAAATTTGCCGGAATTGGAGTGAACGAACGGCGGGTCAGCAGCAGCAGTGGTTTGAATCGGAACGGTGAACTTGAGTGGCTACAGCAGTGGAAAGGTGGACAACGGGGTTTCCTGAAAAAAAAAAAGAAAGAAAAGAAACGTAAAAGAATTTTTTGATTTTTTTTTTAAAACAAAGGAAATAGGGAATTGCACGTTAGACGTGATCATGTCTAAGGCGTCGTTCGAATCTGCCCTGGACAACAAAACAATCGTTAAAAGAAATCATCCCATTATTCTCTTAGGCATATTCACGCCTATGAAAACATAACACTTGCAAAAAATTAATCCAGCAAACCTAAAATGCAATTACCCATGATCATGCTTATAAAACACCATTTTCCTTAAAAGAAAAACACTAAACACTTATTAAAAACTCAAATTCCAATCAAGAAAAGAAAACTGATTAATCAAACATAACATAAATTAAACACTTGGGTTGCCTCCCAAACAGCACCTCTTTAATGTGTTTGGCTAGACAAATTCCATGCGTCTCAAGGTGGAAATTTTGAAACTCCACCTAACAACGGAACATGATAAGATCCCGAGCAATTTTCAACAAAACCAAAGTTAGATGGACCAGATTTAGATTCAGATTTAGACACAGAATCAATAAAATGAGATGGAAAATAATTTCCTCTAAATGATTCCTTAAACACTCTACATCTATCTAGTATTTCTAAAATTGTATCCATCATCAACCTTGATTCAGGAGGTCGATATAGATGTCCATATGCAAAATCAAGATATATAGGAGGTGCTTTTGACTCTACGTTCGAAGATTTACATTCATCAATAACATCAGCAATAGAACATGGTAGAGTAGATATACCTAGATCATTGCATTTAGAAGAAAATTTTGATTGTAACATACCAGATATATCTTCTCCAACTACTACCTCATTCTTGGAAAAGTTCTCCATCACTTTCTGTTTGGACTCCTCTATCCTTGGCTCCACTAACATATCTGAAGAAGAAGTAATAAATGCGTTAGTTGGACTAAATAAAATTGAAATATCAATTACCTCATTGTCCAATGCCTCTTCTTTGTTTTCCTCTACTCCCCTATGTTTCGAATCTTTTGCATTTTGAGTAGGTGCAGTCTCCACACCATAAACCTGTTCTGTGAAAGGATATTTCATTTTTTCTAATTCGGCCCTTGAGAATCTGCTAGGAAACGGAGGAAGCACATAGTGTGGCTCTTCCTTAACAACTTCCTTCTCTACCTTCATCTCAGATACATCATTTTTTGAAGTTACTTCATTTATGGCGCACATACTTTCAACAAAATTATTTACAAATGGAGATGGTAATTCAACAGGCTTTGAGACCTCGAACTTGCCAATCGCATTAGCTAGTTGGCTAATTCGGCTCCCCAAATCTTGTATGCTTGCTCTTGTTTCTTGTATGCTTGTTCTTGTTTCCTGTTCAAATTCAAGAGTATTAGCTGCCAAAGCATTAACAATCTCATCTAAAGACAAACCCGAGCCTTGAGAATGTGGAGGATCTAAAACATGATACACTTGTGGCTGAGATGGTTGATACTCATAGTTGCAACTTTGGTAATCTTGCCAGCCTGGATCATGTGAGTATGAACTAGCTTCGTATCTCTCTTGTGGCGGTCCCCAAGATTCTCTCATGGCATTTTGGCACTCCCACTGGTAGTATGGTAATCTTGGACAAAAGTCTCTAGTATGACCAGTCATTAAAAAAATACCGCATTTTTGGACTTGTTTCTGTTGACCTATAGCCAAACTCTTCACAAGAGAAGTTAGTTCAAATAATTGTTGCTCAAGATATGAAGAACTTACCTCATTTGTATTCCAATGGTCATCTCCCTAGTTCCAAGTATGATTTGCATAAGAGTCCATTGCAAAAAGAAAAAAAAACAAAATAAAACAAAACAAAAATTTAAAGGAAACAAATCAATTAACACCGTTCCCCGGCAACGGCGCCAATTTGCTGGGGTGTCAAGCCACACAAATAAATTAACCTACTTCAAACTACGTAGTATAGAAAAGTAAGGTAATCTCCTCAGGGAACGATGGATTATTTCCTTCAAATTAATGCAAAGATGGATTTTTGGATTGTTGTTCTAAATCTATGATAATGAAATTCAAATAACAAAAAACTAAATAAATGAAAAGAAATCAAACTAACAGACTTCTGACTCAAGGGACAGATAACTCAATTATTTAATCACAGGCTACTAAAACTACTCTTGCAATTTAAGCATTCAACCAAAGATCTATTAGGATATTTGTAATAAATCAATTAATCTCCCTAAATTAACTAACCAAGCCTAGCACTCAATTAGTCCTTATCATAATTCGGCTGGGCACGATAGCGTTCCATACCAAACAATGACATCATAAATACTAAGGAAATATAGTTGAACCAAAATCTAAACAATTGAGATAGCTACAACTATTCAGACTTTGCCTCATTGATTCCACATTTAAACTAACATGCATATTCAATATCTCACCAGTACACATGCTTTGTCTAATTGCTACTCAGTACTGCCGGTTCTTGTCTATTACGTAACATTCAACTAGCAGATAGCACTAGAAAATAAATACAAAATCAAGTTGTCAATTTGAATGATATCTACTTTCATAACTCAATACAAGAATCAATAAATACTTAAATCATAGGTAAAAACAATAAATTAAGAACAAAACCTCATAATAAA